GACAGGAGAAATTTTTTAAAAATTAAGATTTTTTGCTGGGAAATTACTTAGAAAGGGAGGAGGCCTAAATTAAAGAGCAAATAAATCAGTAAACAAGAAAACACTCAGATGGTGACAGATATTATTAAGATAATAAATAGTTGTTGATATAGAGACTAGCCAGGTGGCTGCTTGAGATATAGGATGGGAAGGGCTACGTGGATGACTTAGAGGCTGACACGAAACAGAAAAGAATGAATTTACTGGAGAGGACTATTTAGGAAGTATAGAACAAAACACAAAACCACGAAGGCAATGGATATTTCGATCACTTGTGGAGAAGCAGTGTGTGGTGAACTTGGAGAATGTGTGTACAGGGACAGAAAAATTCTGAAGACATTTAGCAGCCTACTCCAATTGTCAAGATGGAGAAATAGGGAAGGACAAACATGAGTGGGAAGGGGGAAGAAATTAGGTATTAAACTTCATTGTTTTTGGTATCTGACATAATTTTACTTAATATCTATAAGATTTTTAAAATGTTGTTTTGGAAAAGAGAGTATTATAATATTTTACTAACAGAAATTTGAAATTCATACCTTAAAACAATTCCCGTTCTTCAACCACCTGGGCAAAGGATACTTACCAGATATACTTAAACAGATAATTCCAAGTCTACTTTAGGGTGGAAGTTTTTTTTCCCAAAAGAATTTAATTTACCCGTTGATGACCTGAAATTAAAATAGAACATCTAGTGTCCTTTTGAAACTACCTGTCGTTATAACATATAGTTGCATCTTTGGGCTTCTGATAAGAGACAGGTATCTCTGCTAAGCTCTGGTAGTTTCTTAACATAGAAGGATGCATATTAAAATAACCAGGAAAGTCATTTACCTTTTTTTTGTTACAAATTTGATGTCATTTGAAATATTCTGTAGTCAAAAGGTCTATAACAAATTATTTTTAAGGCTCTTGGCTAATTCCTTAAAATTCCCCAGAGAAAAAAGTCTTAAAGGTTTTCTGAATAGCCTCATTAAGTAGTTCTCTCTCAAGACTATTAGCATTATCATCACTGGTGTTTTTTGGTAGGCGGGACTGCTCAGGCCCAGAAAATGTTCTAGAATAAACCATGAAGGACTGACACAGTCTTTCACCATAATAATAATTAGGTCCTTAAATATTCCCTTAGTTCCACTTATACAGTTAGATGCGATAGGATAGTGGTAAGCAAACTTTATAACATATAATAATCATCTGGGCACTTTGCTTAAAATGATGATTCCTGTCAAACATTGCCATTGACTTTAACTCAGGGGGTCTCTAGCGAAGTTCAAAAATGTGTCTTTAGTCAATCAACTAGATGATATAGATGCACAGCGTGCTTTGAGAACACCTGCCATACAGCTAGAGTCATCTAACACGAAAAGCAAAATAAATCTTATTGGCCATCTGGTAAAAATTCTCATTATAAAATAATAAAGCTGTAATTATTTTTAAATATATAGCTGTAAGAATTGGAAGTGATGTGCTTTTTATTTATGTGTTTGTCTGTTTCTTTTGGCCTCTAATTGATTTTACCAGCATTAGCCACAAACTTTTACCTAGGTTCTTACAAAATAATTTTGGCTGCTAGAAATATAGTTAGCAAAATGTCATTTGTTTACTACACAGTCCGAAGAAAATATTTTGATTAATAAAACTTGACCTCTGTTATGTGAAGCATTAATGGTATGACTTGTATCGAATTAAATGAGATATTTTAATACTCAATTATATAGCTGTGCTACCATGATTGTCTATTAATTTTCTTGGATTGTTTGCCTATTTCTTCATGATTATTAGTCAACTGGAACTTTGCCAAAGAGAAGAGCAAATTTCAAAATGAAAATCAAGTGATCAAGTGGGTAGTATGTGTTAGAGGATATTGACTTTGAGTATGTAGGTTCAATAAGGTCTCAAACCTTTGAATTAAAATAGTACTTATTTCATTAAGTTATGAACATATTAACTTGACATTAAATGACGTGAAAATATAATTCGATAAACCAGAAATCTACTTTGACTGAAGTTAGCTAAATTCTGAAAAGCCTTGGGGGTCTGAAATAGGGTGGAAATCAGGTCCACAGATTCAGGAACTGTTACCACAAGACTATATTTAACCTTAAGCCAGACCTCCTGATGCCTGCAGAGGTTGTGTATTAACTTAGGAATGCCAAAAATGTAACTTGTGACCCTTACTCTGCATTTGTACATAAGATATAACCAACAATTAAGCACTAAGCTACATAATGCTATGTAACAAATATAAAAACTAATGTACTGATTAAGGGGCTGTCCCATTTTCTCCCCTTTATTCTA